ATCAAGTTTTGGGGAGGACAGACTGAAAGAAATCGCTCCCGTTTATCCTTGAAATGACACCGCAACGAAGGAATTTATTGGTCCGTTGCGTTGCTTCGGTACTATATTTCGGTACGACAGTATGCTATATTCATACCGAAAAACCCAGTTTAACTTTTCGCTATCTGGATTAGGGAATTGGAAATCTATATGGATTCCAGGTTTTCAAAATTGACTCTTTTGAAATTACAAAGAAAATGCAAGCGAGCTGGTGAACTTTCAACATAGTAAAACCCGAAACTTAGACAAAAAAAAAAAACAAGATAAAAAGGAGGCAATAAAATACAGACACCTGTACCTGTGTCTGTATTGTCCCCTTTTTGTCCTCTTCTTTTTTGTCCTAAGTCTCGGGTTTTACAATGTTGACTCCTTTGTTTGAAATCCGCATTTCAGTTTTTGAGAAACAATTCCAGTTAGATTTCCAGTTTCATAATCCAGCTAAGGAAAGGTTAAACTGGGTTTTTTGTTAGGGATTTCAAGCGAATATTGTTGCATGGCCCTTATAAAGAAGCGTGCACAAAATATTTCTGAGCATATTTCTGAGCGAGAGATGAAAATAGTTGAACAAATATCCCTGCGAGATAAAGTAAAACAGAAATCCCCTCCTCAATCCTATTTTTTAAAAAAATAATAAAATAAAATGTGCTGTAGTCAATTGCTTTTTTTTTTTTTTTAATGTGGGTGGGAGGATGTGGAAGGCGTATTTGTTTTAGTGTGGTGCCTGAAACGCGCCTCCTACGCGTGTATTTAACGCGTCCTTAAATATGGTCCCTCGATTTCCACCGATGACGACGTCATAAAGCTGTTACGCCGTTCCGCTGCTGCCTGCTGCAAATTCTGGTGGTGGTACAGCAGCGAGTGTAGATGTGACAGAACCCTGTCCTGCCGCAGGACCACCAGCGGCTTCACAGACCATGGAAGTTTCAACCGCCATTAGCCGGAACGAGATGACGACAGCGACTTTCGCTTTCGCTCGTACTTTCTACCGGAACCTCTAAAGTCGATGTCACACTGCCATCATACAAAAGACAGTCTGCGTACAGATTCGAACCCAAGTCACCGAGAGATTCGTGCTTCAAATTCCCCATACCATATCAATCAGTTCACGAAATGTCTTTGCACGCGCATGGTTCGAACCACGGATAATGCGCTGACTCGTGTTTTGAGACTGTCTTTTGTATGATGAATCAGCTGTCTGACCCTGGCATGAGACAACCGGCCAGGATCGCGACACCAGACAGCTGGTCACGTGGGTCCCCGTGGCGCCATTTATTGCCACTTCGAGGACGCTTTGGATGCATGGGTGGTATTGGGCAGGAGATCGAACTATAGGGGGCGCTTTATCGAGCTCGTTGTCCCCACAGCCAGGTGTTTACTAACACAGCAAACAAATAAAAATTTAACCTCGCCTATACTTCGTCTCACCTTAGCATGGACTATTGTTAGCCGCGCGTGCCAAAAGCCCGAGCTAGTTGCTTTGGATGAAGCTTCGGCTACTGCACGAGAGCTCGTGCATCGAGTGCTCCAGTCAAGGCAGTCGAAGCAAGCCGCTCGCGCTTGCACAGCCTTCGCAGTTAGTCCGCGCTAAGGTGAGATGAACTATAGCACGATCTGGGCACGAGCGCTTCGCTCTGACCAGTGTTTTGGTCGCTCGAGGAGCGGCCTTCGAATCGTCGTCTTCGATTTCTCTGATCAAAAATAAACAAGAAAATTGGATTTGTTGCCCCCACAGCTGAAGCAGCCGCTAAAGGCGTGACTGTTCGACCTGCTCCCCAATATGACGCTAAGCACACCGGTCCGAACGTCGTACACCGCTTAAGTAAAGGAAAAAAGAAAAAGAAAAAAAAAAACATTTAGAATTGAGAATAGCAAAAGATTTGGAACATGCGAAAATCGTTCCACGTCATTTATTTTTTTAACAAACAATTTGTGAGTTTATCTATTGTACATGTATCGGAAATATGTTTCCGAAAATATCGGAAGCCGCATGTGCTATGTACCTTCAACAAACGTTCTCGTTTTTTCTTTTTTTCTTTTTTCGATTACGAGCAATTTTTGGGCATTTGAATTTTGGTATTATTTTCATTTAGTTTTCCTCGCATGTTTCCCAGCGCCCCATCGAGTTCCGTATAACTCTCCTAAAATGTCGTGGTCTAAGAATGACTAAACAAGTTTTGTTCCGCATTATTTTCGTACAAGAAACGTGTAACCTAGCCGCCGCGTAAACAAAACCAGATTTTCCAGATTCCTATAAATTGGGTTAGGTTCATTTAGTCCGCTCGGAGTACTTTAGGGGTAAGAGCAACGCCCTCTCTGATGGGTACACTTGGTCGGAGTTCTCCCTTTAATCTTGCACGGCGTAATGCGGAACTAACGCCGTACACATTCCATTATCATAAACGTACCGCGAGCATTTGAGACTCTGCAGAGGAAACTCTGAGGAGCGCCACTACAGAGTTGACTTCGCCGCCTCCTCCGAAACGACAGTTTCATATGTTCCGTCTCGGAAGTGTATGCACTTAATGACTTTGCATCTATTTTTTTTTTTTTTTGCGAATTGTTTGTTTTTAATGTGTTCGTGTTACTTGGGTCGTCGTATCTTTCCCCTCATCCGTGATACTGATTAGTGTACAATCGGCTCAACGCATTTGCTGATTAGAGTTCGATTGCGGCTGGGCGCAATTGCTCGTTTGATCTCTCAAATACGGTTTTTTCGTTTATTTTAAATTAAAGGGAAAGGCGGAATCTAGGATAGGTGTGAACCTACAGTGCCTAAAGTAATAGGCTCTCAATTGAAACAAAGTACCAGGGTAGCCTCATAGATGGCGCTAGCATGCCGGTGTGTTTTCCGGTGTTTTTTTTGTCGTACCACACAAAGAGCTCGGTCATGCGGAAACGCACGCGTTTGAACGCCGGCCCAATCGGCACGTTGCAATCGCCAAACAAGCAGCGACCAGAGGCCCTATTCTGTACACTCGGCGAAAAAGTCGGCGAGAAATTTGGCGGCCGTGATTGGCCAACGCCGCACTTGACCTTGGCGCCGGGCAATCATAGTCGCCTGATTTCTGGCCGACGTTTTCGCCAAGGGCCCTAAACTCGTGAAACAGAAAGTTGGGAGCCGAAAGTTCGCGAAGCGCGCCGATTGGACGTAGGCGAAAAAAGTGCCAAGTCATCGTCGCGATTGTCCAATCGGTGCGCTCCGTCAACTTCGGCCCCAACTTTGTGTTTGACGAGTTTAGGGGCCCAAGTGTCCAAATTAGAGTCCTTGGACGTTGGATGAATTTCAGAAGCCCGTTTTTGGACCCTTCTTCCTTCGGGGTTCAGTCGCCGGCTTTCTTATCGGTCAATATCACCATCTCATTAGCTGTGGAGCGGTGACAAGATGCTCAGGGATTGCCGCCATGTCCCGCCTTTCTAATCGCTCGTTCAGGCTTGCCGATTCGCGCGGGCCGATTCGCGCAGACGAGAAGGGGATTTTGGAGCCGGGTGGCGAAATTGACTAGTCGCTGGCGGAAGATTTGGATATATATGGGGCCATGTAATGATGCAGATTTTCTGCCAGCAAGAATCGATGCCGCCATCCGGCTCCAAAATCCGCTTTCCGCCTGCGCAGATCCGCCCGCGAATCCACAAGTGTAATCGCGCCATCTGTCAGTGGACAAAAGTGCCCTCAAATATGGGACAGTGGTGATATTTTATAACACGGTGAATTTGCACAAACTTGTACCTTGTGGCTTTTCTTTTTTTAGAACGACAATCAGAGAGAAGAGTTGTACACCCGTGAGCGATATGAAAATGAACAGCCCTCTTCTTGTTTTTGACGCTCCTGCAAGTTTTGGAACAAGCTTTGTTCCAGAAGAGGGCTAGAACGCCAAGTTTAGACCCCAAGCCACGTACCATTTGAGACATTGAGAGCTAATATAGCTTTAGGGAGCCGTAAAACAGGCAAGAAACCAGGTAAGGTGTTCACCTTCATATCGCCGGCGGGTGTACATATTTTGCTTTTATAATCGTTGTCCCGTAAAAGAAAACGAAGTTTTGCACATTATTCGTGCGCTGCACCAAGTAGTTCTTCCAAGATTTGGCAGTCGGAGGAAGAAACGGTGCTTTTGGCATTTGAAACATGTACCATCGCTGCCAAAATGAGCTGAAATTGCGCTCCGCGTGGCGCGCGGTACTCTTGGTAGCGCGTGTCGAATTTTTCTGGAAGCTGTTATGCAACAAAACTGTGATGCACGCTGAGGCAACCATCACTAGATCTTTAGAACTTCCGGTTTTAAACGGACAATTCCTTTAAAGGGCCACTAAATTTTTTTTTTTTAAACAGTCTGGTTCTGACACGCTTGTCAAAAAATGAATTTCACTCGAAATAATTTTTTTTTATGAGCAATATTGCCGGCGCGAGATTTATTTTAAATTCTTCGGGCACAGTCCATGACGTCACGAAATGGTCATACACGCGTTCCCCCTGAACGAGATGGTCATACACTCTCCCCACCTCTACGTGATGGCCAAGCTGATCCACTTCTCCACGCGCCCGAAATCCCGAGATAAAGAACAAGTAGAAAGGAGGTTACTACCGACTAAATCGCGTCTCGCGCAATCAATATTACTATATTAAAAAAAAAACGTCAAATTTATTTCTTGACAAGAGTGCCCCCAGTCAGTGTTCAAAAAAAAAGAAAAAAAAAGAAACGTATCTTTGTTTTCAGTGGCCCTTTAAGATTTCTGGAGGACGGAAAAACGTTTCCTGCTATTTAAAATAAAAAAGGCGGCATTTTCGAAGACTACTGGTAGAATTCGATGAGACAATTTAGTTTTATTGCTGACCAGTATTAGTTGTTTGCAATTGGATCGGTTGGTTGCGGTCCGCTTTACGTATACCTTTATGTCTTCCTTCTTTTTTGGTTTCGTCTGTATGCATGCTCGCGTGTTAATGGTAAAATATTACTCAGACAACTCATTTATGATCGTGAAAAGTGTGATGCCACCGCTTAGCGGTGACTGATAAAATTTTATTAGACGCAAGATGCCGCTGCTATGGAGACGCGAAGTTGCTTGCCATGGATGCAGTGTTTCGCTTGGTGTCGCCGACTTTGAGAGCCTTACTAAGGACTCGGCCGGCATTCAGCTTGTGTACAATGCTGAAACCAGAGAAGAAACAGAATGAATGACATTTCTTGTTGGGAACAACGCACGGATAGTGAGGATATCCACACAACGTGCACACGAACACACCGTGTCAAAATAATTAATTTTTAACAGCTTAGCTTGGTGCCGCGAATGAGCACTTTCCGCTACACTCCGCGGGTATTTTTTTTTTTTTTTTAATTTTTGATAAGGCGTGCGTTCTAAGAAACAAAAATAAAGAGTAAAACTTGGAGTTCTTTTGTTCACCCTAAATATCTGGCGCCATTTACTACCAATGCTCCCTCGACAACAAAGCCGGGGTGCCGAAATTTAGGCCTTCATCTGAAGAAGGTAAACGCGGGGCAGAGATTGATCCCGAGTCCGACGTCGAAGGACACCCGACGTGGGGCTCGGGCCCAAATGCCGAGTCGGCACCATCCGAGTGCGGTGACGTCGAGTGGAGGTAGAGGAGGCTTTTTAGAGGAATTCCTGTTGTCCCTGTAAAAATAACCTCTCCTGCACGACGTCATTCAGTGATGCTGTCAGGAGTTTGTCTAAGATAAGGCGACTTCCGCGAGACGAGATAAGAACTTCGTTGAACAGTAGCACGGAAGGGTTTCGATAAGGAACTGTACGGTCTCGACCTTGTGGACACGTTCCTTGATCACGGGTAACAAAGAAGTCACGTTCGCTCCTGATAAGACGGGAAGGTTGTTATCTATACGCGTGTGGGTCACGTGAACTCGTGCGTACCTGTAGGTAAATTCCAGTCCCAATGATTATTTGTTTCTCGGGAACAGCGGCAGACGCGTACGTTGGCTCTTGACCACTCTCTCCGATATCGGAAGGAATTCTGATAACGGCTATCGATGCCTCTCAGCTTTCGTCGCGTGTCGATGGATGAAATGCTGCGAAAGAAAACGAAAGAAAACATACTTAAGATTGGACAAGTTGATTGCGACATTCAGGACGGCCGGCTGCTAGACTACCTAGATATATCAAGGCCGTACTGTTGAGGTTTTTACGTCACCTACCGAATGCCAGCGCGGTTCACTAATTGAGCACGAGTGCTGTTCAAATTGTGACCCGCGCTGACCCTCACTGGGTGATGTATAGAACATAAAGCACTATGACCTCCCTATCTAGGTAGTGCTGCCTGTGTGCTGCAGAGGTTCAAACACATAGCGACACTTCATAATACATTTCCTCGTGGGTCCTTCCTTTATCCAAAAGGCCTTAATAAATATGCGTTACCAAACAGAGCGAGAGACGTGGAGGACGCTGTGAATGGTAGGAAATATTGTTTGGTTTGTGTAGCAGAGGTGAAAAAACGAGTACCTCCGATGGGCACCGCTTTCGCATTCGCGCATCAACGCGTAGAGAACGCATGATAACAAATCAAATCAAATTTGAAGGTTTTACACGCCAGACCAGCCAAAGGCATCTGGCCCGTCCCAGAGGAAGACTGAAGAAAGGATTAATTTCTACCACCTGGAGATCCAAACTTAGTTGAAGGCCAACGTCCACTTCGCGCTTTCAACTTTCGCCTCCTCCTTTCCTATATCGTCTCCACGTTTTCCCTTGACTTAACTAGGCTCCCCTTCTAGCTTAGAAGAGGGAAAGCACTAAAAGGATTATTTTCCCTGCAGAAAACCGAGGTTGGGCAGGGATGTCCAAATAGGACACAATATCTGCCGTCAACAGCATTTGCTAGACAGAAGCGGATTCTTGTCTTCGCTTCTGGTCCTCCTTGGGCAGTTCTTTGCCGGGGGAACGGAAAGTGACCCTCCGCTAGCGTTTCTGGACAAAGCCTTAGAGCATGCTCATGACCCATAACAGGACGCAGTTACAAACACTCTGCTGGCTCTCGGCAAGGCCTTCGCTGCTGTTATCAGTCTCCAACCTCACGAGAAAAAGAAAGGATGAGGAGTAGACAACAGCGACGAGAAGGAAAGGAAAGCCGTGCTATATCCTTGCTCGACATCATCACTGAAAACGTACGCGTGCTTTGCACCATTCACTTGTTTCTAGAATTAAGTGTGCACGCTTTATTTTATTGTCGCGCACTGCACAAAACGCGTCGTGACTTGACAGCCCTTTATATGTCGTCTTCTCCACAAGAAGTCTCCGTTAGATTGCGGGTTGCTCGGCCGGGATTCGAACCCGCCTCCTGTAGATTCATAGGCATGCGCTTTTGCCTTACCGCAAAGAAAGGGGGTAAACTGAGGATCGGACGGAGAACGGTGATCCCGCCTACTAACTTTTCACCCCGCTAGAAGGGCGCGGCACCGGTAGAGCTTGCGAATTGATTCCATTTTGCTACTTTGATGGCCGACACGGTCCAATCGTTCGGAAAACGCACGCGACAGACATTGTTTTCACAATGGCGCAATTTCGATACGATCTAAGGCTAGAATATTTTTCCGCCATGGACCCATCGCTCATAGGCGTAAGATAGAGATTGCTCTTGAACTTCCTTCCGGAGACGGGTGTCTTTTCAGTTGTCTGTGGATCCTTGCTGCTCGTCTCCTTAGAATATGTTTTTCACTTGCTTCTTTTTATTCCTTTCTCCCTTCCTCCGCGTCCTGTCAGTCCTTCTGATGTTTGTCGTCGTGTACTTCGGAGCTGGGCAACCCAGATGGCTAACCATGTCCGTGCTGAAGATACCGCTCCCTCCGATATTGAGATTTTCATTTTTAAGTTACAGTTTCGCGCAACATCCTCTTCAATGCCCCAGCCAAATAACCCATTACGTGTGTTTTGTTTAAGCTTTTGTAAAGTCTGCTTTAGAACTTATAGGCCACTTTGACGTGGACGGGTGTTGAACAGACGTGCGTTCTATTTAGCCACGCACCTGTTATCATATATATGTTTGAAAACTCAAAGACGCTACTTAACAAAACGTTAGACTGTAGCGCCAAGAATGTTTTGTTCCTCATTTGGTAATTACGAGTTTAAGATTAAAGCACAAAATGTCTTCACAAATCTTTTTTTTTTTTTTTGTACTTTACCCTCTTCATGTCTTGAAAACACACTTTCAAGATATGTGCAAGAATCATATCACGCAAGAATCAAAATATATCTTGAAGAATCGCATCACATCATATCACATGTGTGAGTCTGTAGGTATTTAAAGAAACTAAAACAGTAAATTCACTTTTATTTACAATATTTATAGTTACCGCGGGACCGCGGGCCCAAGATTCAACGAACAAGAGTTGGTATACAGCAGGCACGTAGCCAAGATTTTGTTTCGGAGGGGGCCCGCCCATGACAAAATGCTGTATGAGGGGAGGGGGGAGAGGAGGTCCCAGCAAAGTTGAAGATATTGGGGGGGCCCGGGCCCCATGCCCCCCCCCCCCCCCCCTGGCTACGTGCCTGTATACAGCCTGTCTAAGAGAAATAGGGAGCACGCGCTCTGACTTGCACTTTGCGCCAAATTACCACCAATAATTTAATGCAAGTGGGGGCAGATATTTATATCTTGTTCACAATTTATTTAATATTCCTTTATTATCTATTTACTTAAGGTCGCCAAAGGCACTTCAGAAGTAATGCGCCGGGAAAGTGGGGGAGGGGGAGACGAGAGGGACGTCAGAACACCGTGCTCTGATAGGAAATATTAGTGGGTAGAGCTAAAGCTAGCAGCCTTTATCTTCCCTGCACTCGTCGAAAGCGTTAGAACGCGTAAAGCAGGCTTCCGGCGTTTGGCTCTCGCATCCTAACGGGTTCGACGAGTGCAGCGGAGACAAAGGCAGCTAGCTTTGGGCCTACCCACTAATCTGTCCAATCAGGGCTTGGCGTTCTGAGGTCCCGCGCGCTCTGCTCTCCTCCTTTCTTCACTTTCTCGGTTCATTACAGAAAGCTAAAAAGGAGGGTAGTGTCATCGCCTGCTACCTGCTAACCTTGTCCAAACAGGATTTCCCAATACTCTAACTATTGGTAGGCTATCCCTGAAGGGTATTCGGGAAATCTTGAGTAAGCCAATACAGGCCTATTTCGGCACTATGATTGCCGCGCAGTTATGGACGTCACATCCCCTGCTTCGCGGGGGGGGGGGGGGGGGGGGGGGGAGCGAGGCTTACGTAAACATGCCTCTGCGATTCACACGCTAGCCTTTAGCCTGGTCTCAAATTTGCTTACGCTTATCAGGTAAGCAGCTCCGGGAGCTGACTAAATGCTGGGCTAGCGCGTGAAATCACTGAACCGTGTCGGTTTATGTCAGCCTCGCTCCCACACCTTCTTCTTTCTCTCCCCCCGTAAAACCAGGAGATGTGACGTTCATAAAAGCGCGCCAATCATAGTGCTGACATTTTCCTGCATCGACTTACTCCACAAGTTTTTCCGAATACATGTTCCAAAAATAATATTCTGGCAAAAAAAGTATTTAAAAAAATTAAACAATTTAGCGCACGGTGTCGGTCATCTCCTTTTTGCGAAAACAGGACCATTGCGTTTGTTCTGCCGTACTTCTTTGGCTTGTTTCGTCAGCTGGAAATGTTACGCAGTCTAAATATGATAGTGGATCTGTAAAAAGCTTTAATTTCGCTTGTTTCTTTTTAATCTGTTTGTGACGACGAAAACAATATAGATATAAATAAAATAGAAAAAAAAAAGATAATGCGCAGCCTCGTAAGCCTTCGAAACTGGGAGCAGATGTTTATAACTTGGCGCTGTCTGCTTCGAGACAAGCAGGGTGTTACATTTCTTTGGCTTGTTTTCTTTTCCTGATCCGTACGCCGTCGTTTGGGAGCGAGCGAAAAAATCCCGCCTTTATTTTACTCCAAGCGGGTTCCTGGAAAGCTTCCACGGCGGGTGGACTGCAAACATAACTCGCTTTCAGTATTTGGCTTTCTATAATTCAAGGAATATACAATAATCTTCTCGAATCTCAGTAGGAGATTAGTTATTAATTTAGTTTTAAATATGCTTATAGAACCCCTAAAAAATGTAGTTGTGTTCTAAAAAAAAAAGAAGACAAAACCTGTAGAGCGATGTGTAGTAAACGATGTTCTCCCCAATTTTTTAATGTTTTCTATCTTGTCAAGGGTTTGACTTGAGCACTCCAGTTGAACATTTCTGACCAAGACCATCCACGTGTGGAACTTTGAATTTATCGAGACGGCTAGTTGTATACTTATTTGTTGTTTGTCATATAATTCTTTCTGATATAGACCAGAAAAACAGCAGTAGACATGATGTTTTTTTTTTATTGTTTTTCAGCCTACTATAATTAAACCTTTTATCATATCTTGTTTTTTTTTGACAGACAATTCAATTGATTATTTGGTTTATTTTGTTGAGTTGACAGTTCTTTGAATTCATATCACTACGAAATGACGTTTTGTAAGTTTGGGAAGCTTACAATCAGGGTACTACTTTCATCGGCATTTGGAATTGGCTTTGATGCACCGCGTGCGCCGAGTGGATAACAAAACGGAGAATGAAAGAGGTCCTGCACTTTGTTTTCTGAGCGCACTAACTTGGTCTGCGTGCTTGAAGAGTTCTAGATGTGAACAAGATATTAGAAGGTCAACTTTCACGTAAAATACAGTGATCAGAAATATGCGCAGATCACAGAGAGTCGAGGAAAGGGAAACCAATTAGTCCACGGGTTAGCACCATCACCTCTAGACTAATCGACCGGCGTCCTCACTTGTACCAATCCTTTTTTCTAAACATCTTTTAGTGAATCCCCTACCCATATCTTTGATCCGGATTTGAGGATGATGGCGGGGTGCACGTGAAAAAAAAAGTATGTTCAGTTTTAAAATGTATCAGCACATACATCCAGTTAGCAAAGTCACAATCAAAAAACCTTTATCGTGAATCATTCTGTCTACATCTAAATGTTACATTTGGTTTTAATGCCACGAGAGAAAACTTGACTAGTGCTGTAGAACTGGTATAAGCTAAAGTATTGAAGTGCCTCATATACTTGTGATGCCGTACCTACATCCAGGTCAAACAATCGCAGCCAAGAAAGTTTTAGGATCAAATTTTCGCATAGAAATAAAACCAATGTCCAGTACATCAGTAATTTCGCGTGTTGAGACTATTACCCTGAATACTGATATGCCAGAAGTTATTAAAACAGTGTCAGAAGTAAAAAAAAAAAAAGATAAAACTGATGTTAGTTGCCACCACAATCCAGTTTAGGATGTTCCACAAGAGTTGCAGGAGAGCGGGAAAAAGACCACAGATGATAAGCTGCATTTAGTTACCTGTATTGCATTTTCTGAGTGAGCGATATGAAGTGCTGCCTCAAGAGTGATTTTACAGTGTCTTTTTGTTTTGTAGTTTGCTGTTCTAAAATCTTCTACCGGTGTACTGTTGTAAAAGGTACCGGCCAGGATCCACTTCAAAATGCAAGATGGCCGTCTCAACATCTTGCAATTTTCAGTGGCGAATTTGATATCGTTTATTAAGGCATAGTTTCTACATTTATTTACCGGACTCTCTGTCTGACTAGCCCATAGTATGAGCCTCATATTTGAAAATAAATAAAATCAGCATGTTTTGTATTACCTTGCACTACCAGAAAAGAAATTCCTGCAGTCAAGGTTGTCCTTCGTCAAGCAATTCTCCCTCTTAAATATAAGCCAGAAAATATTTCACCAGAAAGCTGATGCTATACCACCAACTTCTGTAGGCAGCTCCCTGTCTGAAGCGGACCATAATATTTTTAGAGTCACTGAGAGCATGAGAGACGCAGGGTGTGGATTTTTATGTTCACGCTTCTTGCTTCGGGATTGGTACATCAGCGTTGTTGTCGGCTGATGCTGCAATGTCTTTGGTTGTGAAGCAGCAATACGATGCTCGGGACTTCCACACCCTGCTTCCGTAAACTGTCGGTGACTATAGGAAAGACTGCTTCTGCAGTGGGATCATACTTCTCAGTTGGCTTCAAACATGAAACGCACCATGGCATATTCAGCGATACACCAAAAATCTGAGAAAGATTATGAGGCATACATAACTGCAATAAAATGAACGATCACCAAACAAGTGCAGAATATGGCGCATCCCATCCGGCATATTTTCAGCGGGAAATCTTTCAGCCTGTGCCTTTGATAATTATATGCGTGCACGTTTTAGAAAGGGGTATAAACAATTCTAAGCGGGGCATCTAGTCGCCGCCATAGAATCTCTGCTGGTGTGACTGCCAACACGTGCAATAAACTTATTCCAAAACTCGAAGCGCCTCATCGATGCTTAATGCCATGTTCTGCATTGTGGGATCCGGTGTAAAGCAAAATCCATGCACACTCCGCTCCTGGTCCACAGGTTCCCAGAATGCAAGGCGCGGTGATGGATTTATGGAAGTACTCCATTGCAAGCCTGCAAACGGCATCTTCGCATGCATACTGCACGTGTTTGCCTGCTGGAGGCCCCGGCCGTGACGCCATGCTCACAACGTTGCATAAGGTGTAAACAATGAAAGGAGCAGGGTACCAACTCACCATCGTGGACGTGCATCTTCATAAATGCTAGGGCGGAAGCTGCACCACTCAGAAAAGTTCGCTTCTTGCGCCTCCACCTCTGCACGGCGCTGGTGGTCACGTGGGCCCCCTCCTGGCCTTCACAGTCGTGGGACTGAATCCTATGGCGTCGCAGCGTGTCATGATGCACCGACGCCCTGAAGGCCCTGGTGGCACATGTCATCGAAAAGGCCGTCGGTCGCGGAGGTACTTGCCGGCGAACCGCGACGGTGCCGCGGCCAACGAGAGATTGAATCCCGGTTTGGCGAGACTTCAAGGGTATAGCCCGGCCGGGAGGGTTATCATCGCTGGCCGAGTTATCTTGACACGCTTGTGTGTCGAGTATCTCAGGTTCCCTCGCTGTCCGAGGGAGGCGTTGAGTGGCATCTTCGGTTTCCGTGGATATCGTGTTTTTGGCGGTTTTCCACGGGAAAATAGTGGCACTTCATGGTGTTGATATGTGTCCTCCGGGACGAAGACTGTTTAAACAGAGCGGGTGAAAGATTCTCCTTAAAGGGATACTACAACGAAATTTCGGCGCTCATTTTTTTTTGGTCTATATATGTTCAAAAGAGCAGTATCACATGGAACATACCAATATCTTGTTAAAAAAGTCTCGAAAAGGAATTTTAGAACAAATTAAACGATTAGCAAAGAGCACCTGGTGGATGTCGCTAACGCCTCGCTTGTAATGCTCGTCTAGGAACCTTGGCAGCTAGTGACGGAGGTTGTCTCGTCTCCGGCCACGACGAGAAAAGGGGGGGAGGAGGAACTCCCCTCTTCCCGAGAATCCCATTTGTGTGTCGCAGAAGTCGCTATTATCCCCCTAGAAGATTATAGAAGATTAACCCATCACTCAACATTCGTACAAAAGCAGCCGCTTCGGTGGCTGGAACGACTAGGCCATCCTTTCGACGTCAGCCTCGCCGTAGCTTTGCTCGTCTTGAGACGACCTACGTCACGATTGCGTTGGATGTCACGTGCTCTAGGCTGGGCCTTCTCCGAGCGCTTGCCAGAGTGGGCCGTTTATAACGAAAAATACAGCCATTAGGATCAAAATACAAACGTGCGATTGTCATTTACGGATATTGTGGATCATATTCAACCTATTTTTGAACACGACGGGAATATTTCAAATTTCGTTGAAGTATCCCTTTAAAGGGAAACTAAGAATTGGGGTGTGTGTATGTGTATACGACTTAGAACTTAGTCTGCCTGAACGCGCGACGACTCTCCCTCCCGTAGATGAGAAATTTAGCCAGTGCTGTACAACCGCTAGCCTGGGGTCTTCAACGTGCATCACGCGGTAGTGATACTCGACGCCACGCCGGTACGATGCTCATACAGGTCGAAACGGGCAGGGTGGGGATTGAACCCAGGAAAAGGGACACTAAACCTAACATTTTAGTGCATAATAAGTGGCGCACGATTTTTACACCCGCCAGCAGCCGCCAGCGTACGCGAGCACACACAACGAAATTGACGTCATAGTCTTCTATTCACGCTTTAGATGACAGTAAAATGCGTGAGCTCCTGCCAAAAGGAGAATAACGACAGGTTTTTCATCCCCACATGTGAAAGGTACGTACTTGCTAGACCAATTAATCGCCTACCTTTTACACCAGACCCCATTGTGGAGATCAAAAACGCCTGTCTTTATACTCCTTTTCCCCGGAGCCCACACATTTCGCTGTCAAATTAAGCGTGAATGGAGGACTACGGTGTCAATTTCGTTGTGTGTGCTCGCTTTTTACCGGCGGCTGCTGACTCGTGGAAATATCGTGCGCCACTTATTATGAACACTGAAATGTTTGGTTCAGCATCTCTTTAACTATAGACGATTGCAAACGGTACAATTGGCCGCCACCACGTCTCTGCTCGTGCGTGCAACCCTGTCAAAGCTACGTTCACGGGCACGCTATACACATCCTTACATGAATGAAGCACCAGCCGGGCCGCCAAGCTTGCAACTGTCTGTTGGCGATAGGCTGCACTAGAGCCACTAAATGAGCTACGCTTAGAGTATCGGCACTCCGTTCCCCGACATTGTTGTGGGCGCCGCCATTTTGTGGCTTGTGAAGAGCAGACGCAACTGCCGATCGTCATGATTCAAAAGTGCGACTTCCTCAGCATTAGTTTCGGTGTTAGGAAGCTCATGTAATATTGCTTTGCTTTGTCGCGAACTGTTTAAACATTTGTGGAGGATGGAAAAGCGTTTCCTGTGATTTCAGATAAAGCTTCAGATAACTGGCAACAACGATTTTAAGCCACAATATGGCCAAGTGTCGTTACTCTGAAGCGTAGCTTATTTAGGGGCACTAGCTGCACCAAAAGCGCCGCAGTGCTCCGGCCTACCAAAGGCTCACTTTGATGTCTTGAGTAGGATTAAGGAGGCCATGAAACGGGGGGATGTTTCTACGTTCTCTAAATACTACTGCAGAATCTCTCCATGACCTTAATAACCGAACAAACGTGTTTTTCTTTCTAAGCGATGGCAGTCGGTAATAAATTCGAAAAATATTAGCATCGTTCATCCTCTCAACTCGGAGCCAGGAAAAGAAAACGAAGTGTTTTAAAAAATGCTAATTTTTGTTTTTCGCTTGATATGTTTTATCAGAATATTATATATTATCCGCCGGTTTGGACGGTACAAACTAGACATCGTTCGCAAGTTGACCTCGTCTCTGGGCGGTGTGATTTGTCGCGTTGGAATTTTTTTTTTAGTGCAAGCGAACCGACCTTTCTATGTCTACCCGCCGAACTTCGCTGCACTCGAATCAACACGCTCCCACCAATCACTGGCGCATGCCTTCTTTGAACTGTGGCAGTTCAATCGCCGAATCCGACTAACCTATGGACCTGACTGCGGACATCACTCCAGGTCAGCAATGAGCCACAACATCATTGTGGCGGGTCATTAAGCCATCCAGTGACGTGGAACTCTCTAATCTGGACACCAGAGAGTGCAGCGACCCGAATTCAAGGAAAAAGAGAAAGAAAAAATGAAAGACGTTTACAAATTTCTGTAATGCGATATGGGAGCGCAGCTCTTAGGGAGGAGGAGGGGAGGGTATGCCTCTCCTCTCTCCCGTCCTCCTCTCACCTCGCCTCCCATTTAGCGGGAAAAGTTCGCTAAATTTAGCGGGAAATTTGGAGAAAATTATCCCGCTAAAATTAGCGGGTTAAGTCTTCCCGCGAAATTTAGCGGGCAATTTGGCGAAAATGTTCCCGCCACACTTAGCGGAAAATGTAGCGAAATTTTTCTCGCTAAACTTAGCTTGGAAATTTTCACTAAATTTCCTGATAAACTTAGAAGAAAAATGTGCGCTGAATTCCCCACTAAATTTAGTGAAAATATTCCCGCGAAATTTACCGGGTTAAGTTTCCTGCTAAATTTAGCGGGAAAATTTCCCCGCTAAATTTAGCGGGTTGAGTTTCACCGCTAAATTTAGCGAGGATATTGACATCATGTGGCCTCAACATCAATTCAGTTTCCCCGCTAAATTTAGCGGGGAAACTATGACGTCCCATAATGCAGCGAGCGCGGTTACGCCGACGCCGACGCCGCTCAACCCGTATACGGGTGCCTAAGAGCTGCTCTCTAAAATTGCCCCAATTCCATGCTTAGCGCTGAAACAATCTGCAGCGGTACAGTAATGCCTGAAGGGTCTACTTTCATATTCACACCGGCCGAGGAGGACATAATATTTACATCGCTAAACAGCCGAAGGGTGTCCCTCGCCCTGGAGAATATGGGCCCGGAGTGTATCCTTGAGATCAGATATAACAGACGTCTCAACCTCATTGCCATCGGCATAAGAAATGGCACGACAGCGTGAGCACTCCTAGGCTGCACTGAGCTGTGTGGAGTCAATATCCGAGCTTACGAGCCCCTTCCTAGGCATTACGCCACTGGAGTAAGGACGTGGACACCACGCTCACTGATGCACAGATCGCCGATAACTTAAGGTCTCCAGAGAACAAAGTAGCGCAACTACGAAGACAAGGAAAAAGTTCAGTGGTAAAAATATCTTTCTCTGGGTCTTTCTTTCTTTTTGTTGTTTTATTTGACAAGGACGAAGACAAAGCAAAAGTTCACCGACAAAAATATCTTTCTCTGTTTTTTTTTTGTTTTTTTTTGACAGGAAGAAAGGAGGAGAAATTAGCCGGGAGACATCTCCCGACTTGCTACTCTGAGTAGGGAAGGGGAATGAGGGATACGACAGATAAAAAGAAATTAAAGTATCACACACACACACAAAAAAAAAAGTAGGAAGATCAGAAATTGTGCAGTTTTAAACTATTTCATCTTCATAGTTAGGGCACTCTGTCATTATATGTCTTAAATCCTCAGTAATTCCACATATGGTGCAATTTGGGGAGTCAATTTGCCTAATGCAGAATAGGTAACGTTTCGTATGTGCAACTTTCAGGCATATCCGATGGAGCACAGCCTCACGTCGCCGTTTAAGACCTTGAGGTGCTCGAAATGTTAAGTGTGGCTCAATGATATGTAGCGATGTACTTTTATCAGCGGCAACTTCCCAGAAACGTGCCGTGGTTCTTTTTCCGAAAGTAGTCACCACGCTTCTGATATCCTTCCCAGTAAATGGGTCTTCCATTAGCTGAGTGGATCTTTGGGCTCGGTTTTCAACAACATCAGCCATGTCGTGGCCCGAAATCCCACAATGGCTGGGTATCCTTTGGAAGCACATCGAGTGTCCTTGACACACTCCGTCGTAATGGAGTTGGAGTATTTCTAGTAGCAGTTGCCTATAAGGGCTGTTCTTGCTTGGGCAGTCGAGGGGCTGCAGCGACGACTTAGAGTATGTTATCGTCCAGGAACGAGGAGGCGCTGCAATTATAAATCTTAACGCTTTACGAATTGCTACAAGTTCAGCAGTTGTTGAAGACATTCGATGTGAAAGCTTATATAACCATTTCTGTGGATGAGCGCGCGAATTACAGTCACTAGAGGACCTAGTATGAGTCGTGGATGCATCCGTGTAGATGTGACAGGAGGAGGAATGTTGACGCTGCCAAGCTTCGTTTACCTTGGCCACGTTCAGCACCCCGTGACCCTATTCAAGGAGGACCCAATACAGTGTCGCAAATGCTGTCGTTATGGACATCGAGAAGCAGCGTGCAAGCAAAATTCAGTATGCAACCGCTTCAGTGGCACTCATGACAACTCAGGCAGCTGTTCTGCGCAAGAAAAGTGCATCAGCTGCGGAGACGCTCACAGTGCTACATCACCATCAT